TGAGGACAGTTCTATTCATCATCTTATTCTCAGCACCCTAGCACAATCACTGGCACTCAGAAAGTCTTTGCCTATAGTATCACTCCCTTTCAATCGCATCTAGCTGTCTTTCAAGTATTCTTTTTCTTGTGGTTTCCTGTCTTATTCATAGGTGGTGCCAGTATTTTTAAGGATGCCAAACAGTCTCACTTCTAGAGATTCAGCTTCCTCTGACTATTCAAAGGCATATATAATCCAATTCTGAGAATATAAAGAAATACTATGCTGTCTAAAAAAAAAAAAGACAGGAAATTAACATGGGGCAGTATTATTAAGTACAGACTTTAAATTTCACAAAATTTTATGCTAGTGTCCATTATTTGATTTCATGTCTTATTCAAGACTCCACATTGTATTTAATTGCATTGAGCAGCTTCAGCTGCGTGCAACAAATTCTGGTAAATTCTCTTTCCATTTTTATTCTATTACATTTTCTAATATTTCCTGTTATGGCTCCTTAGATACACCCATCATTTAAAAATGGACATTTAATTTCCAATACATGGGATGTTTAAAAGTATCTTTCATTTTTTTTCTTATTTTGATAGTAATTTCTCATTTAAATGCTTTCTTCTTGGCAATCGCCCTCTGGATTTTTTCAGTCTCCTAACTTTATTGAGACTTTCAATGGTTATGTCAAAGATCTTAGTAAATGTCACATTGTACTTGAAAATATGTGCGCTATTTTCAAATATCTTTTGATATTGATTTCTAACATAATTCCACAGTGATAAGAGAACAGACTCTATGATTCCAATACCTTTGCTGCTGCTGCTAAATCGCTTCAATTGTGTCTGACTCTGTGGGACCCCATAGACGGCAGCCCACCAGGCTCCCCCGTCCCTGGGATTCTCCAGGCAAGAACACAGGAGTGGGTTGCCATTTCCTCCTCCAATGCATGAAAGTGAAAAGTCAAAGTGAAGTCGCTCAGTCATGTCTGACTCTTCATGACCCCATGGATGGCAGCCTACCAGGCTCCTCCGTCCATGGGATTTTCCAGGCAAGAGAACTGGAGTGGGGTGCCATTGCCTTCTCTGAGACAGCTGGCTATAGCTTGCCAACCTATTACTGGACTCCCCGTGGTCCTTATTTCATGGATTTTTCTCTTTAGTGTGATTTCTCTCATAAAGGATACAGTCAGACCAGGAAAGGCTTGTCCAGTCATGGAATTTACAGCGATCCTCCAGGATGACCTTGTTCTCGGGCCCAGAAGGTACGAGGTGGTACTAGTGATTCTGACATTAAAGACCAGGTTGGGGGCTCCCTCTCCAAGTTCCCCTGTTTGTTGAGCTGCGTGGACACTGGTGGCCTCCTCCCGCCTCAGACACACGTTTTCTCGCCCACTGAGTTCTCACATAGTTCCAATGCGGCGTGGAAAACCCCAAGTCTCCACAGTTACTGTACGAACTGGACTTCCTCCAAGTTAGCCATTTGTCCCAAGTTAACAGTTTATGCCCTTTAGACCATGAAATTCTTGCACCTTATGACCCTGGATATGGTCCAGCGTCTCTCAGTTTATAGTCTATGGGAACTTGAATAGAATTTGTATCCTACTATTGTGTGAAAACTGTATAAATCTTAATTATGCTGAGTTGGTTCATAGTGCTTTTCAGGCCTACTATATCTTTCTACTTCTCCATATGATCATTCTATTAATTTTTGAGAGTTTGATATTAAAACTCCCAACTAAAATTTTAATTTATCTACTTAAAAAATAATTGTGATATATAGTAGAACTATATGTAACCTTGTTCTGTATTTTCTAAGTCTCCTGTAAACATCTTATCATACTTTCATAATTTAAAAAATAAAAGAGAAACATTTTAAAAAAGAAAAAACTAAGGCATATTTTCTTTCCCTTGTTTGACAGCACTTCTTCCAGAGGCTTTAGCTTTCTCCTCTTCCTCCTGCTCCTCTTCCAATAAGGGAATTAAGACTGGGTGTCTGCCAACCAATGACATCATAACTGCCCCCAGCCTCACTCCTGGGTGCATTTTATTTTATTTTTTTTTTTGTTTTGTTTTCTTCCATTTATTTTTATTAGCTGGAGGCTAATTCCTGGGTGCATTTTAAATCCCCTTCTCAAGCTGAAACAGACTGTGTTTTGCACAACTTTCACCGCACTCCCCTCACTGACATCTACTGTGTTCTTCTAAACAGATTATATATAAAATTCAATTCATTTTATATAGGAAAGTTTATAAAACTTGCTTCTGATTCTAAGAAAACTCAGGTCAGGATAATTTTTTCAGATCAAATTTCATAGATAATTAAAAAGATATCTGATAATGAATACATGTGCAAGGAAAAATTCATTAATTGTTCAAGATTTTTTGGTTAAAAACAATTCACTTATTTGGGGGGGTTAAAAGAAATTAAATATTATATGACCAGCAAATGCACCTCATAATATTGATACATATGTTCCTGAAGAGTTAAGTAAAACTAGGTTTTCATTAATATATATTCCAGATCAGAACGCCTTTTTAAAGAATACCATTCTGAAATGTTTAAAATGAAGATTTCTTTTTAAAAATTATACCTATCTCTTTTTTTGGTAATTAAAACAAAATTTTTTTTCATTTCTTTAAATTAGGTACATTGATCCAACTATCTTAACTCTTTAAAATGTGAAATTATTGAAGATAAAATAACAATGCAAGACTAATTTTTTTTAATAAAGACATGTAGATCCAAAGATTAGACTGTCGTGGAACGTTTGCTTTTTATTTTTTCTTTAATTTGAAAGTCAGTATTAGTTGACAATGGCTTTCATCAATTTGAAATTCATATTCTCCTCACCAAAATCAAGGTAATTCATAGCATCTACTTCTTCAGCTCCATCTTCTCACCTTCTCAAGCTACAGGATGCTGTACTGTGGATGTCCTACAACCTTTATAATATCACAATGCTCCCTATTAGGTGGAGGTAGCAAGTTGGAACCAAAGAGATAAAGACATCAGCTGGAAGAACAGAGGGAAGTAGGGGTGCACACTCTGCTGTCATTCAAATCCCCAGGGATTTGAATCAAATATGAATCAGAGCCCTTCCATCCTATAGCACTGCCATTCCTGAAGTCACCTGAACTCCCCTTATAAACTTCAAAACATGCCCTTCTAGCCAAGCAAGAAACTGGATTCCTACCATTGCAAATGATAATCTTCACTAATACAACTGCTTAATATTATACCTATACTGCTACAAACTTGGGCATAAGTGATTTTTATCAAAGTTGTTTTAAATCTTGTATTTACATCACCCTTCGTCATTTTCTAAACATCTCTGTTATACACATCTGTTTTGACATGCAAAAATAATTGAGTGAGATAAGTAAAGTGGCATTTACTGTTACTTTAAAATAATAATGAAAGATTTTAAAAAATCAGTAAGATGAAGAATCATTTAAATTTTGCCTGAGGTCACACAGCTAGTGAGTATAAAACTGGAGTTGAACCCCAGTCTTCTAACTCCCAATCCAGAGCTCTAAATCCAGAACCCTAGCCAGATGATTCCCAGCCTTGCGTTCAATATGTTCTTTTAGGCCTGTGCACAAATGTCAAATACTCTTGGTTCAGTTAGTTGCTCAGTCATGTCCAACTCTTTGTGACTCCATGGACTGCAGCACGCCAGGCTTCCCTGTCTATCACCAACTCCCAGAGCTTGCTCAAACTCATGTTCATCCAATCCGTGATGCCATCCAGCCATCTCATCCTCTGTCATCCCCTTCTCCTCCTGCCTTTAATCTTTCCCAGCATTAGGGTCTTTTCCAATGAGTCAGTTATTCAAATATTCTAGAGAGAACTTAAACAGAAAACTTTCCACAATGTAAACAATTACCTTCTAGTCAGTCTATTTTTAAAATGTGATTTTAAAAAAAATAGTATTTCCTTAATACAGGTATGCTTGTGCTCCAACTATTCTATTTGCCAGAAGAAGCTAATGAAGAATTACTGACACCTTGTGGCAAAAACTTATTAATTCATGAGCTATCACCATCCAAAGCCCTCATGCACTTCACTAAGTAGTTAAGACAATAGCAAAACATCTGGAAAAGATAATCTGTGGCTACAGACTCTGCATCTCACAACTAAAACTGTCCTCCCTTTGTTCCACTTGGGCTCAGTTCCCACCACTTCACAGAAACTGCTATTTTTGTGAAGTTCACAGACAACTTCCATGCTGGCAAACCCAATGGTTACTTCTCAGTTCTCATCTTACACAACTTCTTGTAATAACCGGCTGACTCCACCGCTCCTGAAACTTTTGGTTTCACCAAGACCACACTCTTTCCTTTTTAGTTTTAATGTCTCTAAAGCCCTCTGAACTCTCATCAGTACCAGATTCTTATCTCCAACCTTTCCACCCAACTCCAGACACACGTCTAAACAACCAGCATGACTCGTCCATTTGATACCCCAAGTGTTTCAGAATGAAAAATGCCCACAAGAACTTCCACCCAGACGGCTGCATCTCAGTAAATGACATTAAATGATTGTTAACCCCATTTTGCAGATTTGCAATATGAAACACAAATACATTACTTCGCCAGAAGCTATGGGGCTAGTACAGTGCAGAACCCAGATTTAAATCCACACAGCACTTAACTGAATGCAAAAGCAAAGGCAAATAACTGTTACCACTCAGTTCAGTTGAGTCGCTCAGTCGTATCCGACTCTTTGCAACCCCATGTACTGCAGTAGCCAGGTCTCCCTGTCCATTGCCAACTCCCTAAGTTTACTCAAATTCATGTCCATTGCATCGGTGATGCCTCCAACCATCCCATTCTCTGTCATTCCCCTTTTCCTCCTGCCTTCAATCTTTCCCAGCATCAGGGTATTTTCAAATAAGTCAGTTCTTTGTATCAGGTGGCCAAAGGACTGGAGTTTCAGCTTCAGCATCAGTCCTTCCAATGAATATTCAGGACTGATTTCCTTTAGGGTGGACTGGTTGGATCTCCTTGCTGTCCAAGGGACTCTCAAGAGTCTTCTCCAACACCACAGTTCACTCAGGGAAGCATAAGCTTCACTTACACAAACCCAGTCCTTTCACATTGCCAACACTAAAACCAGTACATTTGCTGTTTCAAAGAACAGACCCGTCCCTTGACGCTTCATTTTTTAGGGCAAGAGGAGGAGGGCCTAAAAGACGCAAGAAGACGCCCATCCTTTATCAAAAATGAGATGTCTGTGGGGGCGGCCCTCCACGCCCAAGGACCGCCCCCTGAGGACTAGCAACAGAGCAGTAAGCAGGGAAGGAAAGCAGAAAAGGGCAGACCAGCTACGCACGCAGACCCTGGGGCGGAAGAGGTGGCGGTGCTGGGAGACAACGGGGAAGCCCCTCGGCCCGGCCCTGGCACGTAACAAGAGATAGGAGGCTGGGCGCCATGCGTGTGCGGTCGTAGGTCCGGATCAGAGGCGGGGCGGCAGGCGCGGGAGAAACGGCCAAGGGCGGTACCCGAGGAGCGGGCTCTGAGTGAACGGCGCCAACCCAGGCCACGCCGAGCGCCCCTCTAGAGTGTGGCCGGGGACTGTCGGGGCCTTCCTGAGGCCTCAGCTGGGACCGCCGGGCCCGCCTCCTTCATGCGCAAGCTCGTTGACCAGGAAGACGCGGGTAGGCGGAGTCGAGAACCGGAAGTGCCCGGGCGCACCGGAAACCTTCCCCAGAAGCCCGCCAGCCGGAACAGCCCTGAGGCCCCACCCCTCGACGGAACGCTGGGTTGCTGGGCAACCGGGGCGGGCGCCGCGGGAGGGTTCGGTGGTGCTCAGAACCGTCCCTGTGTAGCTCCTACATCCTGCCCTGGCAACCTCCCGGCCCGCCCGCCTCCCTTCTTGCCGCCCCTCCTCGCATCACGGAATCCCTGCCCTTGGCACTACGTGCACCTCTTCGGCTCCCACGATACTCTAGTGCCCACCTGCTTCGAGGCCAAGCTTCACCGAAAGGGAAGCGGGCCGACCCCGGGCGCGACCTCCACGTTGGCTGAGCGCGCCTCCCCGGCCATGGCCACCTACACCTACACCAGCCGGCCCCGGGCCTTGCCCTCCCAGCGCCGCCGTTACCGGGACGACCTGATGCAGCAGTGAGTGAGCAAAGCGGCCCCTGTGGGGTCTCTCCCCATCCTGGGGCCGCGGGATCTTGGCCCTTGAGCCCTGGCAGAAACTGCCTATGCTGCTTTCCCTTCCCTGCTCTCTGAGAAATAAATTCCTTCCCTAAGGAACTCTCCTGGAGAAGGAAATGGCAACTCACTCCGGTATTCTTGCCTGGAGGATCCCAGGAACACAGGAGCCTGCTGGGCTGCCGTCTAGGGGGTCGCAGAGTCGGACACAACTGAAGCGACTTAGCAGCAGCAGCAAGAAACTCTCCTGTGTTGTGGAGGACTGAAGCAACAAAGGGAATTAGTTAACTTTTTAGTGATCATGATGCTGGCATGATTGGTAACATGTGCACGGAAACGACTTATTGAGTCTACAGATGTTTATTGGCCAACTGTGTGCCAAGCAGGCACCCTCTAGGGGCACCAACATACATTTTCTTACCTAGTCTCCAGTGCTGTGAAGTTGGTTTTATATTATGTATTATGCATATAAAGAAACGGATACAAAGGTGTACCTCACAATAGCGTGTCTGTGATGGGAGCCACGTAAATCTCTCACAGGAATCTGGTTCTCCTTCCATGCTGGACCACAAATTGTACTTTTACTTCATCAGTATTGCAAATATTCAGGTATCCATATTTGGAAAGGGCGTTAAATATTATGGTTCTCTTAAAGTTCTTTGTGTACACTTCAAATTTTGAAATCAGCAGAACTTTCCAAGACTGCAGGCTCCATGGAAGCAAGACCCTTTATGACTTTTGTTCACTAAAGAGCTACCTGACACATAGTTAGCAGTCAACACAGATTGTTGAATTAGAGACTGAACATGAGTTCTTGATGCTTATTTAAAGCAGAGTCTAAAATCATAATTATCTTATTCTAACAATAAAGACATTTTTTAATAAGAAAGGTCTATCACTTTAAGAAAACCAAAATAAGAACATTTAAATTATAAAAGGATTCCATTTTAAAAGGGACTCCTTGGAGAAATATTTCCTAGTGCCTTGAAGTGGTTGCTTACAAATCCTTCCTATTAAATCACAGCAACAGATGAAATCAGAATCATTGGTGGATCCTTAGAAACAGTTTCTCTTTTTATAGAATTATTTGATTGTTATATTGAAGCAATCTGAATCAAGCCTTTGAGAAGAGTTCTTTTAGATGTATATTTTTCAGTTTACAAATTTATAAAAGTAATACATTCTTGTGAAGCAAATGGAAATTACAAATAAGGAGGAATAAAGGCAAAGTTAATTATCTCTCACCCATCTCTACTCCCACTTCCCTGTTGTAACCAAACTTAACAATCTTATTCTTCCACACCTTGCTGGTGCACACAAAGAGGAGCACATGTACGTGTATATGGAAGGTTTTATTTCTGAAATGGAATCACACTACACATATTAATCTGCACTTGGCTCCCTCTACTTTTTCTCTTCTCCACTTTTTTATAAACTCTAATTCCTTTTTTCCCCTAATTTCTTTCTGTATACATGCACACACAGATCTAATTTTTTAATAAATGTACTCATTCATGCCTGTGGGTATTCTTCAGTCAGTTCAGTTCAGTCGCTCAGTCATGTCCGACTCTTTGTGACCCCATGAATCACAGCACACCAGGCCTCCCTGTCCATCACAAACTCCTAGAGTTTACCTAAACTCATATCCATCCAGTCGGTGATGCCATCCAGCCACCTCATCCTCTGTTGTGCCCTTCTCCTTCTGCCCCCAATCCCTCCCAGCATCAGGGTCTTTTCCAGTGAGTCAGTTCTTCGCATCAGGTGGCCAAAAGTACTGGAGTTTCAGCTTCAGCATCAGTCTTTCCAATGAACACCCAGGACTGATCTCCTTTAGGATGGACTGGTTGGATCTCCTAGCAGTCCAAGGGACTCTCAAGAGTCTTCTCCAACACCACAGTTCAAAAGCATCCATTCTTCAACGCTCAGCTTTCTTCACAGTCCATCTCTCACATCCATACATGACTACTGGGAAAACCATATATGTGTAATTGATACACTTTGTTGTACTCCTGAAACTAACTCAATATTGTAAATCAAATATACTTTAATTTTTGAAAATGAAAAGTTGACTTTTAGATACCAATGCTCTATTACAGTCATGATTTAGAATTTACTCTTTTATAGAGCTGAAGAACCTGTGCATTACGGAAACATAATGTATGACAGAAGGGTAATCCGAGGCAACACTTATGCTCTGCAGTCGGTACCACTGGTGAGTACGGTTTGAATTGTCTGACACAGAGTACTCAGACTACCTGAGGTGAAGGGCCAGTTTTTGTTTCTTTCTTTAAATTTCTAATCTGTTGCGGACTAAAACGTTTATGAAATAAAATAAGGATAGATTGCTAGAAAAATGAAAGGGGAAAAAAATGCATGCAAAATACAAACTGGATAGTGGTTGACAGGGAATGGGGGAATAGGGAAGTGTTATTAGTGAGTACGGAGTTTCACAGAATGAAAAAAGTCCTGGAGATAAACGGTGGTGGTGGTTGCACAATGTGAATGTGCTTAATGCCCCTGAGCTGTGCACTGAAAAATGGTTCTGTTCAGTTCAGTCATTCAGTCATGTCCAACTCATTGCAAACCCATGGACTGTACCACGCCGGGCTTCCCTGTCCATCACCAAATCCCGGAGCTTGCTCAAACTCATGTCCATGGAGTTGGTGATGCCATCCAACCATCTCATCCTCCGTTGTCCCCTTCTTCTCCTGCCTTCAATCTTTCCCAGCATCAGGGGGCTTTTCCAATAAGTCAGTTCTTTGCATCAGGTGGCCAAAGTATTGGAGCTTCAGCATCAGCCCTTCCAGTGAATATTCAGGAGTGATTTCCTTTAGGATTGACTGGTTGGATCTGCTTGGGACTCTCAAGAATCTTCTCCAGCACCACAGTTCAAAAGCATCAATTCTTTTCAGTCAGCTTTCTTTATAATCCAACTCTCACATCCATACACATGACTACTGGAAAAACCATAGCTTTGACTAGATGGACCTTTGTTGGCAAAGTAATGTCTCTCCTTTTTAATATACTGCCTAGGTTGGCCATAGCTTTTCTTCCAAGGAGCTAATGTCTTTTAATTTCATGGCTGCAGTCACCATCTGCAGTGATTTTGGAGCCCAAAAAGGTAAAGTCTGTCACTGTTTCCATTGTTTCCCCATCTATTTCCCATGAAGTGATAGGACTGGATGCCATGATCTTAGTTTTTCTAAGTGCTGAGTTTTAAGCAAACTTTTTCACTCTCCTCTTTCACTTTCATCAAAAGGCTCTTTAGTTCACCTTCACTTTCTGCCATAAGGGTGGTGTCCTCTGCATATCTGAGGTTATTGATATTTCTCCCGGCAGTCTTGATTCCAGCTTGTGCTTCATCCAGCCCAGCATTTCGCATGATGTACTTTGCATATAAGTTAAATTAGCCTATTGTTTTCCTCTGTTTCTTTGCATTGATCCCTGAGGAAGGCTTTCTTATCTCTCCTGGCTGTTCTTTGGAACTCTGCATTCAGATGGGTGTATCTTTCCTTTTCTCCCTTGCCTTTTGCCTCCTTTAATCCCTTAGTCAGCTTTTGTTTGTGTACTTGAACAGGCTTTGTTTGGACTGAAGTTGTTTTTTTTGTGAGCTAATGTATTTTTTATGGAAACTCTGTCATGAAATTAGGCTAAAAAAAATTGAAGTGGTTTTCAATTTGTTAACTACACATTAGAATCTATCGTGACTGAATGGTTACCTCAGTTTACTAGGCATCAGAGGTGTTCATGGTAAAAAATCCTTAAATGAGGAAAACAGTTTATTATTTGGGATTCTGCACCCATTTTATTCTGGTTAACAGTCATACTTTGAAGTTACTTTTATGTGTTTTACCAGATACCTTTGTAATTGCCTGACAAATTTCAGATAAATTTTTAGTCACCAAGTCACTGATAAGCAGGAAGCATACTGTGACAGATGCTTTTATGCCACCCGGGAATTACTTTAGAGCAGCACTCCTATACTCTTTGAGAAATATTTTCTAAATTTCATAAGCCGTTTTTGTCATTCAGCCTGGGCAGCCTGATCCTATAGAGATTCAGAGACAGCAACAGGCTAGGAGGAGGGCTTTAGCCAGAAAACGAGCCCAAGAACAGCTCAGACCACATACGCCTGAACCCGTGGAAGGCAGAAAACATGTGGATGTGCAGACAGGTATGTGGGCCCATGGCTTGGTGGCTCCTGGGTGTGTGTGGTTTTCTGAGTCAGTTCATTTTGTTTGACTTTCATGTTAACGTATCTGTTATACCATCTAGTATTTCCCTGTCTCGTGGTAGAAAAAGTCCGTTCTATAAACAAACTGATAGACTGAATATTGTTAATATATTGGGTATGGCTGAAAATGTGACATGGTGATTTTTTAAAAAAGAATATAAGGATCAAATTAATTCTCTCAGCCCTTTTCACATATGCTGTTCTCGAACTGGGAGTATTTCCTGCTTTTCGTAGCCCAAGATGACTCACTCTTGGGTTCCTGGAAGTGGAGAGCAGTATAGTTTTATTTTGGTATTTTGTCTTTTGAGAGAAATAAACCCTTTTACTGAATATCTGAAAATGTGGGTTATTAGTCCAAGCTTTACTAGTCCCAGGGCTTCCAGGGTAGCTCAGCTGGTAAAGAATCCGCCTGCAATGCAGGAGACTCCAGTTCGATTCCTGGATCCAGAAGTTCCCCTGGAGAAGGGATAGGCTACCCACTCCAGTATTCTTGGGCTTCACTGGTGGCTCAGATGGTAAAGAATCCACTGCAAGGCGGGAGACCTGAGTTTGATCCCTGGGTTGGGAAGATCCCCTGGAGGAGGGCATAGCAACCCACTCCAGTATTCCTGCCTGGAGAATCCCCATGGAGAGAGGAGCCTGGCGGGCTACAGTCCATGGGTCGCAAAGAGTCGGACACGACTGAGTGACTCAGCACAGCACAGCACAAACCTGTTTAGATCTGAGTCCCCCCACCTCTCACCATGGCCTCTTCTTCCGGCTCCTTTTGTTCTCCTTTCCCTTGCATCCTCCCCAGGGCCACACAGGCTCTCCTAGGCTAGTGCCAGGCTTTTCCTACTTGTCTGACTGTTATCAGCTGTGGGGGTTTACCTGGACCCATAAGGGTCCAGCTGTATTGTTGACAGAATCTTGGTAGTCAAGCAATACTTGATGTTTTCCTTGGACATAAAATGTAACTACCTAAGATTCACCTTGCAGAGATGGTGAGTGGATTCACCAGAGATACTTCTGGATAGTAAGGACAAAAGGTTGAGGACCATTCCAAGCTTTTTCCTACCTTGAGCCCAAGTCTAGAATAAGTATATGTCTGTGATTAGCCAATATAGTTGTAATTCTGTAAGAGCTATATTTTAGTCTTTATTTATACCATCAGAATATGAAGCAATAGAATAGCAGCCACTTTTTGTTGAGTACTTCTTGTGTCTCAGAGACTATACCAGGTACTTTACCTGTGTCTCCTTTATTGTTATGAAGACTGCAGGTGACTGATAACCATCATCCCTTTTGCAGATAAAGAAACCAAGACCCAAAGAGAATGTAATCGCTGGGTCTTATATTCAACACATGACTCCAGTTCTTAAAGTTTTTTGCATGATGCCATACTGCCCTTGCCTCATGTAAATTATTCCTAAGGTGAAATTTGTTTTCATATATCTGTTGATGATATGTAACACAATGATGTGATGCATAGTTTTTTTTACACGCCTAGGAATTTTCAAACCTTTAAACATCAACTATCTTAAGACTTGTTACATGGATGGATCCTTAACTTTCCATCCCATGTTATATTTTGTGTCTTATATACATCTATAGGTTCATGTTCTTTAGTTTTGTTTTCAAATACAAAGTTAAAGTCGCTCAGTCATGTCTGACTCTTTGCGACCCCATGGACTGTCCATGGAATTTTCCAGGCCAGAATACTGGAGTGAGTAGCCTTTCCCTTCTCCAGGGGATCTTCCCAACCCAGGGATCGAACCCAGGTCTCCCACATTGCAGGCAGATTCTCTACCAGCTGAGCCACAAAGGAAGCCCATTTCAAATACAAAGCTCAGTGATCTCTCAACATTTAGTAAATGTTCTAGCCTGACTGACTCCTCCAAATATATAAAAATGCTTAGTACATTATGTGGATTGAATCCCACATTTGAGCACCTTTATTTCAAGACTTATATTCTGATCCATTCATTTCTGTTTTGAAGGGGCTGTAGTTTCAAATTCTTGAAAAAGACCAGAATTTCAAACTTAATGTATATGGTGTTCTTTTAGAATTATACCTTGAAGAAATTGCTGACCGCATAATAGAAGTTGATATGGAGTGCCAAACAGATGCGTTTTTGGACAGACCACCAACACCACTCTTTATTCCTGCCAAAACTGGCAAAGATGTGGCCACTGAAATTCTAGAAGGAGAGGTATAGTACATTATTAGACTTCCCTCTGTCTTCTTTATAAAGAGTTAGGTTTAATTAAAACCTTAGCATAAATGCAAACCACTTTACAATCAGGAAAATTCTAAATACTTACTGCATTTCCTTCCAAATGGAATATGGTTTTATCCTGAGCTACCCAGAAATGTCTTTAAATATCGTGATCTTTTATTTTTTAGTTTTTTAAAAAAATTTTAAATGCCATGATCTGATTTTCCCTCTTTGCTGATCAGAAATAAAAAATTTTAGGAATGTATTTAGAATATTTATATATTTAATTTTTGTGTGTTTGCATACTTGCTTAATGGATGAACATAAGGTAGATTTGTACCAAATGAGGGAAAATAATATCTCTGGTATAAAAGGTTCCACTGCTAGTTGCTTGTTGATTACATAACTTTTATGAAGATAATTCTCTGTGTTAGGAAAAAAGTCCTAAAATAATTTTTATATCAATGTGGAATACATAAATATAGGCCAGTTTATGAAACTGAAGAAGAGAAGGCGGTGTTCGTAATGACTTAAGTGAGATTTAAAACTCGAAGGAATTTGAAAGTATTGTCATTGAATTAGGAAATAAACCAAGTCTTCATAATCTATATGGAAGACTATAATTGCTTCTAAATCCTAGAGATGAATCACCGAAGTATCCATTATTCTTGTTCCTTTGTTCTTCAAACTGTTATCAAAACAACCAATAAAAATCAAGCAGAAAAGATGGAGAATTAGACAGACAAAGATATTTCCCTTGGGTTTTAGAGGTTTATTGAAAAATTATTGAGAATGAAGGTTCATTCTGATGATTGAATAGATCTTTTTATAACTTTGACTCTTATCAGTTTTTGCCTGTAAAGAGCCTCTGTGCCTTTTGGGCTGTTTTGAAGATTAGAAACGATAAATTACCAGCTCAGTGTCTGGCATACAGAAGACCCTCAATAAGTAGTATCCTGTTATTTATTGCTGCTCTTGTGGATATATTTTCACTGAGCCTTCGGTCCATGATTAAAATTTTAAATCTGTTTTGTGTGTTTAAGCTGTTTGACTTTGATCTTGAAGTTAAACCAATGTTAGAAGTTTTGGTGGGGAAGACCATCGAGCAGTCTCTTCTGGAAGTGATGGAAGAAGAGGAGCTGGCAAACCTGCGGGCCAGTCAGTACGCATATGAAGAGCTCCGCAACGTCGAGCTTGCTGAAGTCCAGCGACTTGAAGAGCAGGAGAGACGACACCGAGAGGAAAAAGTAGAGGATTTTCGTTTTCTCTCTCAGACCGATTTCGGTTACTTAACAGATTATGTTCAGAATCACATGTAGAGCTAACAGGTCTTGGCAAACATGTTAGAAAAGGCCTGTAGAAGTATTTGTTGTCCAGGTCTCTCCTGTAGATCACTGATCTTTCATGAACAATTACATTTTTAAAATCCCAGTTTACATAGATGTACCTAAATGGAGACAGACTTCCCAGGTGGCTCGGCAGTACAGAACCTGCCTGCCACTGCAGGCAGCCCAGGTTCGATTCCTGGAGAAGGAAATGCAGCATGCTCCGAGACTCTTCCCTGGGAAATCCCATGGAGAGAGGAGGCCTGGCAGGCTACAGTCTGGGGTCACCAAGAGTCGGACTAAACACCACCAACAACCTAAATAGAGTTCCCCCAAAATTCTGGCAGGTCACAATTTAAATTACATATGTCCCAAGGAAAGGCACTCTTAAATAAGAGTCCTGGAGAAGAAATACCATCAGTTTGCCAAAAATCAGTGGCAGAAAAGGTGGCAGGAAAAGGGGGAGTGTATTTGGATAGAAAGGGGATCTGGAAAGAATTCTGGGTCTTTTTTCTCAGTGGCCAGCCCTGCTCTACACCCTTACAGATACACCTACTATCTGAGTCTTTATAGAGAATTTCTTCAGATTATAAGGTTTTTAGAACCTTTAATAAGAAAAGTTGTAGAATTCAATCATTAAATACGCCACAAACCTTTAGTTAGGAAGCACTCGGCTCAGTACAGTTTAGTAAGAGTCTGTCTGGGTATGGCAGGAGCTCACCCTGTGTTAAACACTGGATGGATAAATGATAAAGGAGTTTCCACACGCTTGAAAGGGCTCAGAGTCTAGCTTCCCACACGAATAGCTGAGTTGTGGGAACATTCTACTCCAAACCTAGTCAAATGGACTTTCAGTTTTCCTCCAAAATGGGTAACTGTGTAAAGAGCACGGGTCTGTTGATAAAGATTGTGCAAATGCACGATTATTTGTTCGCAAGTATAAGATGAATCCTGACAAAATGAGCTTTGTTGAAATAATTGGTGAAGTTTTTATCAAAGAAGAGTTAAATTTGTTTCTTTACTGTTTGGTGGTGTGTGCATGCTCAGTCATGTCTTGACTTGGACTGTAGCCTGTCAGGGTCCTCTGTCCGTGGAATATCTCAGGCAGGAGCGTGGGGTGGGTTGCCATTTCCTCTTCCAGGGGATCTTCCTGACCCAGGAATCGAACCCACATCTCCTGCCGAGCAGGCAGATTCTTTACCACTGAGCCACCTGGGAAGCCCTTGTTTACTATTAGGAAATGTTTTCAAAGTTTAAGCAAATATAAATCTGGATGACTTGTATTCTTCATTTTTTATAATATATATTATTTACTATTAGGAACTATGAAAAAACAAAGAATACAAGTCATCCAGATTTATATTTGCTTTAACTTTGAAAATAGACTAATTAGAAAATATATTAATGTTCCCACTTCTGCATGGGAATAGAGAAGGTAGTTCATTAGCTTCACAGATTTCATATGATCTATAAATAGCAACAGCAGCAAAAATATTTTATAATTTTCAGAACTTTACAAATTCAAAGAATCATTATAAATGAGACAATTTATTGGCCCAAGTTTTTTAATCAAAGATGTCTAAGTGTAATTTTCATATCAGCAATACTTTATAATACTAATTAAAAATACAGATAACTATTATTTTATTTCAGTCAAACATGTATATCCTGGAATTATTTTACTTCAAAATGGGACTCCTCTGAATTCAGTACCTATCTATCTGTTGAAATTCATTAAAATCTTAGTGAAAAATACAAACTGATCATAGACACCTTGCTGTCCATTTTTGGATACAAATATAAGTACAGATTTCTCCCACTCATGAGAGTCGGTGTCTGGGGAGGCTGAATAGCCACCTGTGATGGTGTTCTCCCTGGACAGGAACGTCGGAAGCAGCAGCAATGGCAGGTGGTTCACAAGCATAATGAGACCTCGCAGAAGATCGCGGCTCGAGCGTTTGCACAGCGTTACCTGGCCGACCTCCTCCCGTCAGTTTTTGACAGCCTTCGGGATGGTGGCTACTTCTATGATCCCATTGAAAGAGGTTTGTTGGAGGTCTTTTGTTAGATTAACTGTTACAATAAGCATCCTGCTAATGGTTTGAGTTCATGTTGTGCCCATTTTTATTTTGAATTGGAATCTTTCTTTACCAGCTGAGCCACACAGAGCCCAAGAATACTGGAGTGGGTAGCTTATCCCGTCTCCAGTGGAACTTCCCTACCCAGGAATTGAACCAGGATCTCCTACTTCTCAGGCAGATTCTTTCCCAACTGAGCTATCAAGGAATCTTTCTATCTCTGGACCAAATTTTAAAATCAATTACAGTTGTTTTAAGAAAGTACCGTTACTAATAAGAGGTGTGTTACAAAGATTTTAGAATATTTACTGAGAAACAACACTGGAGAGTAGAAAGCAATATGGACTGGATGTCCCCCATAACGCCAGCCCCTTGTTTTATCTCGCATAGTGCCTATAAAGTCAGTTCTAAAGGCCTTGACTCCAGGGAAAGCCTCATAATTTTGCAAATACCATTTACACTTGAATAGAAAGGTAATGGACCAAACCATATAGAGAGAATACTATATGGCAAAAGTGATACTATACGAGTCTGTTTGACATTTTATAATAAGAAGACAAGGCTGATATGTCTATAACATTAGGGGAAAAGCACAGATTCTCCCAGTTTGTAATGCTTCATAAAAATCACTTAATGAAATTAACTTTTTAAATTGCAGATATTGAGATAGGATTCCTCCCATGGCTAATGAATGAAGTTGACAAAAGCATGGAGTACAGCATGGTGGGAAGAGCAGTGCTTGACAGTAAGTTCTTTTATGTTATTTTAAAAGTCATCTCTGAAATTTTTCAGTAAAAAGAACATAGAGAAAAAGGATGTTAATTTTACAGTTTTGGTTCTTAAATTTTCAGTATATCAATTCTATTAACAAAGTGAAGTGAAGTCGCTCAGTCGTGTCCGACTCTGCGACCCCATGGACTGTAGCATACCAGGCTCCTCCATCCATGGGATTTTCCAGGCAAGGGTACTGGAGTGGGTTGCCATTTAACAAAGGTACTTGTTTTTACCTTCAGTATTATTTTTGGTTCTTTTATAATTTGATCAGAATTAACATCTTCTGTCATTACTTTATAAATCATATTCTGTTAAAACAGGCATTGAATAGAATTCACATTAAGTGGCACAGAAGGTACGTATTGTTGACTTTGTATAAAAAGTCATGATACAAGAAAGGGACAAGGCCTGGTGAATATTTTATGCTCATCTATAAGCAAGCGTTACAACTACTAAAATATGAAAAGTCATAGTGATTTCTGTACATGCAATTTTCAGTGTTGATTCGTGAGGTGGTTGAGAGGAGACTGAATCTCTATGAGCAGAAGGAGGGCAGGCACGCCCCTGTGAGGCCTGAGTATGGGCTCAGCGGTCCCGGAGGAACGAGAGAGCCCCTGGTGGGTTTCGAATCCCGGGATCAGGGTGTAGCCCAGGCCCAGAGACCCCTTCCAGACAGAGACTCCCTACAGAGAACGGCATACGACGCAAGGTACATGGATAGAGTTTCGTCCCGGGAAAGGAGGCTCGTGGAAGAAGATGACGAACTGACAGAAATGAGGAGATCCTTTGAGAGGGAAGAGCTGTCGCAATAGAGGGAAGCCTCAGCGCCGTGGAGCCAGTCAGAAGCCAGTCAGCACTGCAATCAGTCAGGTAATGATGCGTGAGTCCCCTCAGCTCGTGGAAATTATGTTGTGTTTAGTCAGCGTGTCTTTGTCTCATGGACTGGGCAAATCAAATATGTTGAAATAATAAAAACTAATTTTTAAAATGAAACCTTATTTATCTAATAGTAGACTCTTTAGGAGCTATACTGTAACTCTAATGAGAATTATGTCTAATTTCAAGCTTCCTATTACCAGTATATATAACTAATATATTTCTCCTACCTACTTCCATCACCACTATATAACCAATATGTTTTTCCATATTTATCCCATGACCACTATATATCGCTAATATTTTTCTTCAGTTTTGTAGTTGCATTCTCTTTTTTTAGTAAGTATGGTATTTAATGTTAGATACCAGTTCTGTTAGCCACTGAGCTTTTCTTCTCTGTAGAAAAACTTACTCCAAGCAGGAATCCCTCAAGGTTGGGTTCCTGAAAGCCATGGTGCTCTCTCCTTGCAAATACCAAGAAATATACCCTTGTCTATATAAAGATAAACAATTACTCTTTCCATCTTCAATATTCAAGTAAAACTCTCATCTATTTGTTCACATTCCTGCTATTAAAAAATTTCAGACAATACCAATGAAGCTAAAAGTCCCTCCTCAGACAGCGTATGTCATCCATCCATCCATTCTATGTACCATCCAGGCCTTTTTTAAGCTATTTCTGGAGATAAAGATTTGAACATCTGGCAATATATGGGTTATAGTACTTGCATTTTCACCTAACATTTTATCTGAGACTTTTCAACATCAGTACATATAAATTTTTTTTTTTAATGTGGTCAGATACAACTGTATTATAGGTAATTGCCATTTGGCTTTTTAATCTGAATTTGTTTGGTGAATTTACCTGCACCATTGAAAATCATAGATATTTTTTACCTCTAAAGTTATATTAGAGATATAAAACTCTGGCTTAAAACTTAACGTTCAAAAAACTAAGATCATGGCATTCAGTCCCATCACTTCATGGCAAATATATGGAGAAACAATGGAAACAGTGACAGACTTTATTTTCTTGGGCTCCAAAATCACTACAGATGGTGACTGCAGCCATGAAATTAAAAGACAGTTGCTCCTTGGAAAAAAAGCCATGACCAACCTAGATAGTGTGTTAAAAAGCAGAGATATTACTTTGCCGACAAAGGTCCATCTAGTCAAAGCTCTGGTTTTTCCATTAGTCACATATGGATGTGAGAGTTAGACCATAAAGAAAGCTGAGAGCCGAAGAATTGATACTTTTGAACTGTGGTGCTGGAGAAGACTCTTGAGAGTTCCTTGGACTGCAAGGAGGTCCAACCAGTCCATCCTAAAGGAAGTTAGTCCTGAATATTCATTGAAAGAACTGATGCTGAAGCTGAAGCTCCAATACTTGGCCACCTGATACAAAGAACTACTGCTGCTACTAAGTTTTCACTTCAGTCGTGTCCAACTCTGTGTGACCCCATAGACGGCAGCCCACCAGGCTCCTCCATCCCTGGGACTCTCCAGGCAAGAACACTGGAGTGGGTTGCCATTTTCTTCTCCAATGCATGAAAGTGAAAAGTGAAAGTGAAGTTGCTCAGTCATGTCCAACTCTTCGCGACCCCATGGACTGCAGCCATCAGCCTCCTCCTTCCATGGGATTTTCCAGGCAGGAGTCCTTGAGTGGAATGCCATTGCCTTCTCCAGATGCAAAGAACTGCCTCATTGGAAAAGACCCTGATGCTGGGAAAGATTGAAGACAGGAGGAGAAGGGGACGACAGAGGATGAGATGGCATCACTAACTCAATGGACATGTGTTTCAGCAAACTTTGGAAGTTGGTGATGGACGGGAAGCCTGGTGTGCTGCAGTCCATGGGGTTTCAGAGTCAGACACAGCTGAGTGACTGAACTGAACTGAAAGCTATATCAATCTCTAATCAGTGACATCTTCTGAGGCTTCAGATAGATATAGTCTACTTTTCTCAGAATGTTTATAAATATATAAGCTGTAGTGATTTGAAATAGCTTGCAGTTATTAACGCATTTACCTTAGTTTCTTTTTAAACGCGGCATTAAAAATACAGAAGAACATCTTTCTCCATTTATAAAAAGAACTGAGCTGTATGTCTCAGCAGCACTTTTCATGAATCTCAAACCAATTTCCCACATTTTATATCCCTACATCATTCTAACGTCAGAGCAGCCCTTCTGAGGTCGATGTGACAGTGTGTTTATTCTCGTTTTCAATCGGGCGTGGGTTTGTCCAGTCGGCAGGTGTTGACTGAATGCCTGCTGTGTGCTGAGGCCGTGAGGGGGCTGCAGCGGCAGCCTCACAGTGGAGCTGAATGAAGCAGGGGTGAAGCAAGGAACTGCAGCTCAGGGATTCTCGGTGATTTTCAGTCGAGTGACTTGCCTACTAAGTAATGGGGTGAAAGCTGGAGCCCAGATCCCCTTCCTTCCAAGCCGCTATCCTTTCTTCTCAACAGCCTTGCACTTTTGTGAGGTACAAAGAATAAATACATTACTGAATTAACAGCATTTAAAAAATTGAAATCTGTCCTTTCGTTGCTGAGTGAGGTCCATCTTCTTAAACAGTCTGTGATTATCCTAAAATCTGTCACTGCTGTTTAGTTGCTCAGTCGTGTCCAACTCTTGGGACTGTAGCCCGCCAGGCTCCTCTGTCCATGGGATTTCCCAGGCAAGAATACTAGGGTGAGTTGCCATTCCCTCCTTCAGGGGACCTTCCCAGTCCAGGGATCCCATCCGCATCTCCCGCATTGGCAGGTGGATTCTTTACCAGTGAGCCACCAGGGAAACCTCAGTGATCATCCTAAAATTTACAAGATACTAATTTTGGTGACAAGACCAGGAATTTTTTTTTTTTTTAAGAATGCTTTCAAAATGGAGTGAAGGTTGATTATCTTCTACAATTCTAATCCTCCTTCACTGTAACATTTTGCAGATGCTTTGCTAAACTTCTCATTCTGAGTTCCATAATTCCATAAATTAATTCAGTTTATTAAAGAAACCTAAATCTGTAGACCCCATACTGAAGCTGGTTAAGCTTAACTGCCTATTCCATCCTAGAGAGGAACAGAAATAATCAAGAGGTTAGGACACTGTCCCTATGAAAAAACGTGGAGAAGCTGGTGATAAAAAAGAAAAATATTGAGTGGAAACTGAATTGTCTGTGCTCACATTTGCTTGTGCTCTTCTTAGGAGTTCTGATCCCTTCTCTTTTCAGCTAACACTAAGCTAAGGGAAGCCGAATAGTAATAAAATGGATAATATGTAATAAATTTCTAGAGATTGTCCTCCGCCAACATCAATTCCCAGATCACTGAACTAGATGAGAGGGAGGGGCAGAAGTCATCTTCTCCAGTGCAGGCCGCATGGTGTGCAAGCCATTCTGACTTGGCTGAGCCAATGAACGCTGGTGTGGTTGACAGCAGACCCCAGAGCCAGACCAGCTGGTCTCGAGTTCTTCACCGCACGCAAGGAGGTTGCCCCTGTAGTTAGGGCAAAGAACTGGTTTATTTGGAAAGCAGATGGGAGAGCGGAGGTCTTGCAGAAAGAAGTCGTATTTGCAGATGATAATTCCTCTAAAACTCGTAACAGGCGTGGGAGAAGTGGCATCTTGCATAGCATAGCAAAACGCTGTGGTAACCATAACCATCAGGTTAATCGTGCACATTTCTTCTCACCTAAAAACTTTCATTTACTTGTCAATGTTGTTAAAATGTAGCAATCATATCAGCTAAATTTTTAATCTATAACTTTTAGATGCAGTTTTCATATGCTTTATTTACTAGGCAAAATCTGATACATTCTGCTTTTGTTTGTAGGTGAATCACAGCAATTTTTATAAATTGCTATAAATTTTTATAATTTTTAATGTATTCTAGAGCTTAATAGCCGTAATCATTTATCTCAATTTATTTAGCATAAAGGCATTCTGGGAACTTCCCTTGCAGTCCAGTGGTTAAGACTCCAAGCTCCCAGTGCAGGGCCATAGGTTCCATCCCTATGGTTGGGGACCTAAGATCCCATATGCCACACAATGTGGCCAAAAAAATAAAATTTAAAAAATAAAGGCTTTCTGAAAAAGCACAAATATGCATTTAATTTCCCCAGAGACCAATTAGTACCTACTGTTTTTTTTGCTATAGCTCCAAGATCTAACCAGAACCAATCTTTTCCAGGTTTGTTCAGTCAGAGACCCAAACAAAAATGTTACAGATCAGGTGTCACTATCATGAAAAACTACTGTTAATGCTATTGGATTGATGTCTATAATTCTCGATTTGAATTGGAACATATTTACCTTTTTGTTTTAGTGCTTTCAACTTACAAATTAAAATTTAATAAATTGATAGTTTAGATGATACTCTTTGTTTTTCTTAAATCTTGAAAATAGAATTAATGAAATATATGATTTAAAAGGTACAGTACTACCAGCTTCCTAGGTGGCAACTAGTGGTAAAGAATCCACCTGCCAATTAGGAGACACAGAGATGTGGATTCAATCCCTGGGTCTGGAAGAGCCCCTAGAGGAGGAAATGGCCACCTGCCAGGCTTCAGTCCATGAGGCTGTAAAGAGTCAGATACGACTGAGCGCACAGGCACACACGCAAAAGATACAGTAATGGTTATAGGTTTGCTTATAAATAAAATCAGTCAAGATATTGAAGTTTGAAATTTCAATACAAAAGTATAACATTTAAAGAATTTTAAATTCTTCTTGAAAATAAAATTTGAAACACTAATACATTTTTATTACCACATGCATTTATAACTCATAAATTATATATTTTATTGTTATTTATTTTTATTTTTGATAATGATTGTGTATGATGATCTTCTAACATTTTGGATTATGTTGATACCTATTTTTTACCACTAGGTGTCAGTAAATCCCTAAAGCAAAGTTAACCTGCTTCCAACTTCAAACATAATTTAATGACCGTAAAGAGACCTTGGTAGAGAAAAGAGTTCAAAAATATATTGTACTCCT